TGGATGTCTGGTATGCTTGATGTCTGGTATGCAGGATGTCTGATATGCTGGATATCTGTATGTCTGGTATGCCTGATATCTGGAAGTCTGGTATGCTGGATGTCTGGTAAGCCTGATATCTGATGGTCTGGTATGATGGGTGCCTGGATGTCTGGTATGCTGAATGTCTGGTACGCCTGATATCTGGTGGTTTGGTATGATGGGTTCCTGGATGTCTGGTATGCTGGATGTCTGGTAAGCCTGATATCTGGAAGTCTGGTATGATGAGTGCCTGGATGTCTGGTATGCTGGATGTCTGGTATGTTGGATGTCTGGTATGCTGGATGTCTGGTACGCTGGATGTCTGGTATTCTGGATGTCTGGTATGCTGGATGTCTGGTATGCTGGATGTCTGGTATGCTGGATGTCTGGTATGCTGGATGTCTGGTATTCTGGATGTCTTGTATGCTGGATGTCTTGTATGCTGGATGTCTGGTATGCTGGATGTCTGGTATGCTGGATGTCTGGTATGCTGGATGTCTGGTATGCTGGATGTCTGGTATGCTGGATGTCTGATGTATGTATCTGGATGTCTGGTATGCTGGATGTCTGCATATGCTGGGATGTCTGGTATGCTGATGTCTGGTATGCTGGATGTCTGGTATGCTGGATGTCTGGTATGCTGGATGTCTTGTATGCTGGATGTCTGGTATGCTGGATGTCTGGTATGCTGGATGTCTGGTATGCTGGATGTCTGGTATGCTGGATGTCTGGTATGCTGGATGTCTGGTATGCTGGATGTCTGGTATGCTGGATGTCTGGTATGCTGGATGTCTGGTATGCTGGATGTCTGGCTGGATGTATGCTGCTGGATGTCTGGTATGCTGGATGTCTGGTATGCTGGATGTCTGGCTGGATGTCTGGTATGCTGGATGTCTGGTATGCTGGATGTCTTGTATGCTGGATGTCTGGTATGCTGGATGCTGGATGTCTGGTATGCTGGATGTCTGGTATGCTGGATGTCTGGTATGCTGGATGTCTGGTATGCTGGATGTCTGGTATGCTGGATGTCTGGGCTGGATGTCTGGATGGATGTCTTGTATGCTGGATGTCTGGTATGCTGGATGTCTGGTATGCTGGATGTCTGGTATGCTGGATGTCTGGTATGCTGGATGTCTTGTATGCTGGATGTCTGGTATGCTGGATGTCTGGTATGCTTGTATGCTGGATGTCTTGTATGCTGGATGCTGGATGTCTGGTATGCTGGATGTCTGGTATGCTGGATGTCTGGTATGCTCTGGTGTCTGGTATGTCTGGTATGCTGATGTGTCTGGTATGCTGGATGTCTGGTATGCTGGATGTCTGGTATGCTGGATGTCTGGTATGCTGGATGTCTGGTATGCTGGATGTCTGGTATGCTTGAGGTCTGGTATGCTGGATGTCTGGTATGCTGGGTGTCTGGTATGCTGGAGGTCTGGTATGCTGGATGTCTGGTATGCTGGATGTCTGGTGTGCTGGATGTCTGGCTGATGCTGGTGTCTGATGTATGCTGGATGTCTGGTATGCTGGATGGATGTCTGGTATGCTGGATGTCTGGTATGCTGGATGTCTGGTATGCTGGATGTCTGGTATGCTGGATGTCTTGTATGCTGGATGTCTGGTATGCTGGATGTCTGGTATGCTGGATGTCTGGTATGCTGGATGTCTGGTATGCTGGATGTCTGGTATGCTGGATGTCTGGTATGCTGGATGTCTGGTATGCTGGATGTCTGGTATGCTGGATGTCTGGTATGCTGGATGTCTGGTATGCTGCCTGGATGTCTGGTATGCTGGATGTCTGGTATGCTGGATGTCTGGTATGCTGGTATGTCTGGTATGCTGATGTCTGGTATGCTGGATGTCTGGTATGCTGGATGTCTGGTATGCTGGATGTCTGGTATGCTGGATGTCTGGTATGCTGGATGTCTGGTATGCTGGATGTCTGCTGGATGTCTGGTATGCTGGATGTCTGGTATGCTGGATGTCTGGTATGCTGGATGTCTATGCTGGATGTGCTGGATGTCTGGTATGCTGGATGTCTGGTATGCTGGATGTCTGGTATGCTGGATGCTGATGTCTGGTATGTCTGGTATGCTGGATGTCTGGTATGCTGGATGGTATGCTGGATGTCTGGTATGCTGGATGTCTGGTATGTATGCTGGATGTCTGGTATGCTGGATGTCTGGTATGCTGGATGTCTGGTATGCTGGATGTCTGGTATGCTGGATGTCTGGTATGCTGGATGTCTGGTATGCTGGATGTCTGGATGCTGGATGTCTGGTATGCTGGATGTCTGGTATGGATGTCTGGTATGCTGGATGTCTGGTATGCTGGATGTCTGGTATGCTGGATGTCTGGTATGCTGATGTCTGGTATGCTGGATGGATGGTATGCTCTGTCCGGTATGCTGGATGTCTGGTATGCTGGATGTCTGGTATGCTGGATGTCTGGTATGCTGGATGTCTTGTATGCTGGATGTCTGGTATGCTGGATGTCTGGTATGCTGGATGTCTGGTATGCTGGATGTCTTGTATGCTGGATGTCTTGTATGCTGGATGTCTGGTATGCTGGATGTCTGGTATGCTGGATGTCTGGTATGCTGGATGTCTTGTATGCTGGATGTCTGGTATGCTGGATGTCTGGTATGCTGGATGTCTTGTATGCTGGATGTCTGGTATGCTGGATGTCTGGTATGCTGGGTGTCTGGTATGCTGGATGTCTGGTATGCTGGATGTCTGGTATGCTGGGTGTCTGGTATGCTGGATGTCTGGTATGCTGGGTGTCTGGTATGCTGGATGTCTGGTATGCTGGAGGTCTGGTATGCTGGATGTCTGGTATGCTGGGTGTCTGGTATGCTGGATGTCTGGTATGCTGGAGGTCTGGTATGCTGGGTGTCTGGTTGCTGGATGTCTGGTGTGCTGGAGGTCTGGTATGCTGGGTGTCTGGTATGCTGGATGTCTGGTATGCTGGATGTCTGGTATGCTGGATGTCTTGTATGCTGGATGTCTTGTATGCTGGATGTCTGGTATGCTGGATGTCTTGTATGCTGGATGTCTGGTATGGTGGATGTCTTGTATGCTGGATGTCTTGTATGCTGGATGTCTGGTATGCTGGATGTCTGGTATGCTGGGTGTCTGGTATGCTGGATGTCTGGTATGCTTGATGTCTGGTATGCTGATGTCTGGTATGTCTGGTATGCTGGATGTCTGGTATGCTGGGTGTCTGGTATGCTGGATGTCTGGTATGCTTGAGGTCTGGTATGCTGGATGTCTGGTATGCTGGGTGTCTGGTATGCTGGAGGTCTGGTATGCTGGAGGTCTGGTATGCTGGGTGTCTGGTATGCTGGGTGTCTGGTTGCTGGATGTCTGGTGTGCTGGAGGTCTGGTATGCTGGGTGTCTGGTATGCTGGATGTCTGGTATGCTGGATGTCTGGTATACCTGGGGTGCCATGGATTGCCTTTACCTGCGTACACGACTGAGATGATGATGGTTGACAGTGATGAAAGTACTGACTGTACACGTGTTCATCTTGTGATATGTTTCGACAGCTTTTATGAATGTAATCGAATGTTTATTATATTATTCAGGTTAATTAACAACACAGATGCGGTGTTTCTCCCGTTCTTTTATTCCAAATAAGGTTCTTGAATTGTTAATGCATACACGGTGTAAATTGTTCAAAGATATCGATTTGACAGGGTGTCATTATTGCTAAGGATACAAGAGGAGATGTTTCCTATTGAATTTCCCGTTAAATATGTCTATAGAAAGATACTGGAAGTATCATAGTTTTCAACCAGTGGCAAATAAACACAAAAATTAATTAGGGATTTGATACATCATTAGATTCGGTCTGTGTCACATACCAGTTCATTATGGAGGAATGTCACGTGTTCTCGTCACGATATGGCTGAAATATTGCCGATGTGACGTTAAATAATAACTCACTCACTCATTCACTCATTATGGAGGTTTGAAGTTGGTTTATCATAATTAAGAATGGAAACATGCATAGTAAATGTTCACCTATTCTTACCAATCCGTAATTCGCCATGCACAGTCAAACTCCTTTAAAGATTAAATGATCCACAGATGATTATTTTGGGTCATAATGCGTTTCAGATCCAAAGACTCGAATAACATCACTGTTAGTTTCGGAGTTTGCATTTTACGGAACATTCCATAAACTCATGAATCAAATTGAGTGAGAGAGTGAGTGAGTGACTTTAAGTCACGTCGGCAGTATTTCATCCATATTGGGACTTGATCAAATTATACTGTTATACGATAATTTGTAAAATTGTCAGAGATGTACACAATAACAACTAGCAATATATCACAGATTTGTTTAAACCTAGTTAGGGACACATTTAAACTTCAAATTTGAAATGTCAAAGATATCTTTGACCCGTGAATATCCGGGTTAGAATTGGTCTTCAGCAAACCATGCTTGTAAGAGGCGAATAAAGGGGATCGGGTGGTCAGGCTCGTCGACTTTGTTGACACGTGTCATCGTATCCGAGTTATGTAGATCGATGCTCAAGCTATTGATCACTGGATTGTCTGGTCCAGAGTCGATTATTTACAAACTGCCGCTATATAACTGGAAAATTGCTGAATGCCGCCTTAACCAACCAGCCAGCCAGCCAGCCAGCCAGCCAACCAAAATATTGTTGATATTTGTCCAGTAAGCACAGTGCGCGAAACACATGATTACGTCACTTTCATGTGATGACAACTTGTCATACGATGAATTAATACATAGTTGCAAATCATCGATCGTTTTTGAACAATAGTTAGTCATATCGGACTGTATGTAAAAAGCTGAGAATAAAACTTTTTCAAAGCATTGGAACTGGTTCTATTATTGCGAATTCACATGGAATTAATTCCATTTGCGGGTTTGTGTTTATGATTGCATTGAGGGTTATGGTACATTTATGAGACAGGAGTGTGGAAGTACATATGCTCGACCCAGAATGTTTTCTGTCTTTGAATAGATGTTATTTTTGGATTACGGTACAAAAGAGTATTTACGAGTACATGCTATTTGGTAATCCATTTTATAGCACATATGAATAATGCAAGAGTCTGTATTCATTATCAGCGTTTCTTTAAGTCTTGTGACATTATTCACTTATCTAAATCTAACAATGATTTCTCACTGATCATTACTAGTATCTCAGATTTTACAGAAACATCTCACTGGCAGCTTTAGATTTCTATTGTAGTGCATATGTCCGACAATTCACCATAGGCAAACTGCAAGCAAGCAAACAGAGACATCACTGTATCTCGCAACATCACAGTTGTAGTTCACATTATCATATTAGATTCTGAAAGTCTAAAGCTGACTTCTCACTCCTTACTAGTCTCCGATTTCACAGAGGTATCTCACAGACAGCTCTACGAAGATTATAGTTGCAAGATAAGTCCGACAATTCACCTCTTAGCAACTGTACGCAGTTGCCATAGTTGCTCGGTTCGCCTGGGTACCATTTCCAGGCAAAAGTGGAACCTTCCTGCCAGGTAAACACGTTGTTGACTTTCTGCATTCCAATGAAGAAACTGTTTGACACATCAGCTGCAACGATAAACGGCAACGAGATTGCAACATCCACCAGTTGTACTTTAAGCACTCGGGTATCCCTCTAAAAACCCAAAGAATGAATTATGTTTTACTTTTGTGGACAAGTCCATTGAAATTGTTGATAGCTAAAGTTATCTTGGTATCAAGCTCCATCGAAGTGAAAGGTTTGTAACAGCAACTAAAAGTTTAGTTGAAATTGCAACTAAAGCAATGTTTTCGCCTTTGGAAAAAACTCGCAATTTGAATCTACCTTTAGATTGTTTGATATCAGCTTTCGATACTATGATAGTCCCTATATCAATGTATGATTCAGAAATATGGGGTTTTGAATATCTATCGATAATAGAGAAAACAGACTTAAAACTTCTAAAATATGCTTGTGGTCTTCGAAACTCAACTCCCAATGTCATGCCTTATGGGGAATTAGGAAGATATCCGCTATATATTAAGATATATAAAATAATATTTCATTCTGTCAAAGTTACAAACACTAGTACTCTTAAAACGAAATTATCGACCCTTTTATTCAATTTCATCTTCTTCTCCAAAGACTTTCCCTAACCTGAAATGGTTTAAATTTATCAAAGAGATCTTAGATAATTGTGGACTCTGAGAAATGTATGATTACCCGTTCCTATGTTCATCAGAATGTTTGATTACCCGTTCCTATGTTCATCAGAAACGTATGATTACCCGTTCCTATGTTCATCAGAATGTTTGATTACCTGTTCCTATGTTCATCAGAATATATGATTACCCGTTCCTATGTTTATCAGAATGTATGAATACCCGTTCCTATGTTTATCAGAATGTATGATTACCCGTTCCTATATTTATCAGAATGTTTGATTACCCGTTCCTATGTGCATCAGAAATGTATGATTAACTGTTCCTATGTTCATCAGAAATGTATGATTACCCGTTCCTATGTTCATCACAATGTATGATTACCCGATTCCTATGTTCATCAGAATGTTTGGTTTCAAAAGTAGAAACAATACTCAAAGACCAATATTTACAACAATGGCGATGTGAACTAGCGTCTAGTTCCAAAGGAAGATTTTCCCAAAATGATAAGGACAATCTATGCTTTGAAAACTACCTCTTCCTTCCCAAATTTATACATAGTCCAATTCTTAGATTTAAGTTATCAAATCACAATTTACCGATAGAAACAGGACGCTGGTACAACACTCTTAGAGAAAATAGACTCTGTAAACTTTGCGATTCTCCGTCTGTTGGGGACGAAGTCCATTACGTTTTTAAATGTGAAGATCTTCTCCAACAGCGGGTGATGTATATCCCAAATTATTTTTATGAATGGCCTAAACTTAAACGGTTATTTTAAAAAAAGAAAACAAAACATTTGAAAAACCTCGCTAACTTTATAAATGCCTTGTCAAATGCACTGAAATTGTAAACGAATTGAGATAATGGTAATCTATCTAACTATTCTAGTATCCGCCATCTTGATTTTATATTTATGTTCAATTGTATATCATTATATTCTCATGTGCCACCGTTGGTGGGTTTTAGAGAATAAAATGTTCTGTTCTGTTATATGCAAATCGTCTAAGTAAAGCAATGGCCTTTGATAAACGGAAACTGAAGTCTGCAATCAAATGTGTTTCACTACATAAGGACACATACATACTGTTTCTACTTTTTTATGAAAACAAATAGAATCAGTTCACAAAATTTGAACATTCACATTCCTTTTTAAATTGTTATGATGTTATCCTCAAGTATTTTGGTGCAGTAAGAGGCAATAAATATCATCTCTTAAAAAAAATAATCTTTTCCTCAACTGAAATCTTTCATGATGGTGCCACCCACTCAACTATTGTAAAATTACCGTACCGTTGACAGTGGCACGTCAGTCCATCTAAATGTCAAAGTGTATCAAGGAACTAATGTTTTGATTCCCAGATAGCATTTCGATATTTTGATATTAGTTACCATTTCATATAACATCCGTGAAGACCCTGGCTAGAATTGGTCTTCAGTAACCCATGCTTGACGTAAACTTATGCCCGTTAATAAGAGGCTGGTCATGCTCGCTGACTTGGTTGACACCTGTACTCGTATCCCAACTAATATTTATATTGATGGAATAGTGCTGTGCGCGGCGTTAAACAACAAACCAGCCAACCAACTAGTGACCAAAGTTATGGCGAAATCTTGCTAGTTAATCATGCAGGAATCTGAAGCACAGTCAGTCCCAATGGTTTGGTTGTTCGTTGTTCGTTGTTCTATAGCCTAGTTTTAATGTAATCTAAATAATAGGATGAAAAATTAGTTGTTTCAATACTGACGTGGTTTGTTTAATAACTAAACTGTGATACATACCTCATTGGTTTTACTGTCCTTTGTTGACAGCTATTTACATATAACTAACATTTTCTCATTGCTATATCGCTGCAATATTGCCGATGTGGTGTAAAATTCTAACTCACTCACTCACGCACCTGAAATCACACGTGTGGTGTATAACCTTACTGAGTAAGATTACTGTACACCCTTGTTGTGGCTCACAAATTCACTACATTATGGATACTATGTTCAAAGGACACCATGTACTGACCTTGACTCTGGAATGAGGCAATGTACTCCTGTTTCTCCTGACTGTTGAGGACCATCAGGCGGCCACCTTCAGCTTGACACTGTGCAGTTTGATAAGTCCAAGTGTTGGATATTGGAATATACTTGTAGCACAACCGTGGAGACAATACAGATGTGTAACCAATAGATGCAGGGCATGGGTCTGGATCAGGAAGAGCTGAAAGTGAATAGGGTCGTTTACATGTAATCTTTGTCTCTTGTTGCATCTATGTATGTAAAATGGCATTTTGGTTGAAAGTTGACAGTGTTGATTATGTTAGCTACATGCATGTCATCAGTGAAGAAGTGATGATGATCTTTGATTTAGAGAAACATACTTAGATAATCATATCAAAGTATATTACCCCAGCAAAAATACCTGGACACCACTGTCCCAATGTCACAACATAAGACACAACTAGGACCAAATGGCCAACAACTGTGGATTCCTACCTTATCGTCCTGTTAGTTGTAAATAGTAGAAGTAGAAATTCAATCACAAATTGCTATTTCCCATGAACGTACATGTATATGTTTAATTCTATTGTGGTGGTCAAGTTTCTAAAGCGTTCGCTAGTCACACCGTAGAACTTTGGATGGAAACGGATTGAAGACCCGACAATGAAACAATAGAAATGTACATAAACATAACCAAAACTGTCACGTTCCTTTATCATAGATCGGATTGACCAGTCTTCTTTATTCAGTTCAGTTCGTAAATATGTTAACATTGTTCTATTTTAAGCCAGTGCACTAGCGTTTCTTCCAAGGATTTACTGTTCTTGAAACATATCGTTCTTCTGTCTAAATACTTCCAGTATAAAATTGTTTCCCCACTCACATTATCATTAATGTACAATGTTTTACATTCATACACAACGGGAAAGTTGACAACAATGCTTGTACCACAGTAAGTCAGTGTAGAAAGTGAAAATACAAATGTTGCATGATCTCACCGCCTGCCTTGATGAAGTGCTTGGCTCCAAGGACAGATTTCCCAGAGGATGTCAGAGAAGATCTGTACATGCTGCACGAACCCTCCAGGAAGGTGACTGCAGCACACAGTCTGTCCTGGGCACAGAGACTTGCACATGTCTCTGGATTAAGAGACGGCTGCGTGCTGAAGGGGTGCTCTCTTGCCTTTAGTCTGTGCAGCGTAACCTGTCTGTCAAAACGATGCCAAGAAGTGACTTTTCCTGCATACATGACTGGAATTAATGCAATGACCTGACACAGCACGGCGTTCATCTTGCTTCAGTGTAGCACCGTACCAACTGCCGTATGTTTCAATATCTGTAACCAATGTAAACAGATAGAATCTTAATTATTCAGGTTAATTAACAAATTAAGGAGGGTGTTTCTATGGTTCTCATACTTTCAAAGTATTCTTGAAATGTCGATACAAACACGGTGTGATTAGTTTTAAAAAAAACATTGACTTGGTAGGATCGGTTTATTGTTCGGTATACACCATGAAGTAACTTTCTGTAAGCTATAAACACTATCGATTTGAACCAGTGTAGTCAATAGGCAGGACTGATTACCTGTTTTTTCTGCTATTATTGCCGTGAAAAACTTTCAGTGAACTGGAATAATTATGGTTTTGAACTAGTGGAGTAAGCGATCTCCCTTAAAACTAATGATGCCTAGTCATTAATGGTCTGTTTAGCACTCAGTTTTATTACCGCACAGTATGAACCTATCTGCAAATACACTTCAGAAAATGTTAACCCATGTTTACCAATCTGCTTATTCTACTGTGATGACGCACAGTAGTCAAAGCACCACGATTCCCACTGCAGAATCGAACTCCTGTAACGATATCAGGGTCTGCTGATGGTTATTATGGGTTTCAGGTCCAGAATCTTCTTCACGTTTGTCCTTGTTTTGTTGGAATCTTGTCCTTGGACGAATTACGTTTGTTACTTACTATCTATTTTCAGTGAATACAGAATTGTATTTATATTTTGATGGTTTACTGATCCGACGTTTCGATGAGATTATCACATACGTCTGATACCCTTTGATAAGGATATGTTTGCCTGTATATTGTTGACCACATCAGTACGCTGTGGCCGACATTAGTCATATAGGGCAAAACTAGAAACATCAAAATGTTACCATCATGAATTCTGTCATTATTATATATCTACTAGTTTCTGATATATATTGTATTTGTAAGACGTTTCATTACGTTTTACGTATGCTATAAGAAGTTACTAAACACTGTTGATAGAGTCATCCTATTTTAAACAGTTTAAGACAAATAATGTACATGTTATCAAACTAGTTTCATAGTAGATATTGTTACCTAAATTGCAGCACAGTGGTCTGCAGATAATTGTGACATCACAAGGTACCTGAAATGACATTACCAGTTACTCGGCTACTGAGGTGGATATATTTACTTTCTAGACAAGACTTTATGGCCTTTTCCAGCAAATTTCATATGTTCTCATTGGCTTCCATAGAAGACACTGTGTCACTGAAACTGCAGCACATTGCTTTGCAGACCATCTTGACCTCCTTATTTTGAATTTGGATCGTTATTTTTTTCCATTTTTATTCTAGATTCTGAAATAATTTCATTATTTCGATAACCATTCGTTCTTTACAGAAACTTGATTAAATTGTTCTCATATACAGATGCATTGTGACATAGAGCACATTATTGCCACACAAATAATGGAAATGACCATACTTTGCACATTTCAGGAACAGGAACGAGGACAGAATATATAAATTTCCTCGACATAGAAAACACTCGACAAGTAATAAAACTTCGGCAACAAAGTAATTTCAAAGTACAATGTTTGGTCGGAATAGTCCCCAGATCTCTTAGCTACTTCACTTTGATGTGCATATTTGTCGAAAATCAAACGTAGACCTTATGGACATTCAGCACATATTACTACAAATGGAAAATAAACCTTTTTATACTAAATACGTTTATTACACTATAGCCTCATTTTACAATCAGTTGCATGAAACAGGGACATTCTCCACAAGAGAATAAAGGTGATCGGTGTATATTTTACTAATCAGCACACATATAAATCTACCACATAGTAAAGCAAACAACCGTCAAAAGTACACACACGTTCACTGAATGTCCATAAACACAGAAAGTAGTACATGGTTGGAATCATGCAGACGATGCATAACTGTTCTCTTTACTGCCGTCATCCAGAATAGTGTAGTACTGCCATATATGTCTTGATGAACTCTTTATTAAGAAACCAAAGTTGGAGCAATTCCCCCGAAGTCTGAAATCATGAAATACCTACTCGCTAGTCACGTCGTCACAACCATAACATGTCGTGTCGACACATCTAACACAACAAAATTCTTAAAACTCCAACTTCACAAATGCTACCCAAAGTTTCTACGAGAAACAGTGACAAAAGGGTAAATATTTTAACACAAATAAATATCTTAAACACAAAGTGATAAATTTACTTATTTAACTTTGTTAAAGGACTAGAAAGGCCTTCTCCTTAGTTCTCCCTTGACAGTATGAAGTTCAACTGTGTGAAATTCAGCTTAGCAAGATTTTATATATTGAGAACAAAATGCATGTTTTGCACATAAATGAAATGGTGTGTTTGGAATATGTGTTCCCACGTTAAGGCTGACATCCACCCCTACCCAAATACACCCAAAATAACTTTCATAAAAGAGCATGAAACGCGGGAATATTGACAATGTCAAAGATCCATATCTACATACTGATTTTCATTGCAGGGTTTACCTATCTGAGCTGATCATATTTCCAAACTATGAAAATGATCCAATCGATCATAATGATTTTAAATATAAAAAGCATCTATATAGTTTCTTAAATCAAATAAACATAAAACATAACTTTATAGTACAATCGTCTTTATTCGGGGGCATAATAGTTTTCAGCACCACATGCTAATCATAAGAATCAGTTGTTAGTATTATGATAAGGGTGGGTATTGCAGAGAATTTTCATATTGCGATATATTGCAATGCGAAAGCATGTATTGCGATATGTATTGCAATATACTGCATGAAGTATTTTTAAACAAAAACTACTTATAATCGAGTTACCTCTTGATTTACAGAGCAAAAACACAACAAAATCACTAGGCTTGATTAAGCTTTAATAACAACTTTTAATCATGATAAAATAAAAATGTGAATAATATTTGGCACAAATGAAACAAGGACATATCCGAACATTTCCGAGTGTTACGAAGTTTTCCGAATGCAAGTCAAAATACCGGTTTTCGATGAGCGTATCGCAATACGTATCGTTTTCATGTCTGAACCGGTAAATACCGGTAAACCGGTTATATTGCGCAGCCCTAATTATGATACGGACACAGTGTGTCATCAACAAAGAGCGGATTGATATTTATACACATGATGCACCATACCTTTAAGAAAGTGGTCAGCTATATGATATGTTACATTTGGGGTTACACTTTTTTAATTAAAAAGAAATTCCAGCCTACTTTGGGTTGAATCCCCCTATCAAAGTTATGCACCTGAGTTCTAGTTCATTCATCTAGACAATGTCATTCAGATACCGAATTTTAGTAAAATCGGGCAACTGGAGTAAAATTCGGTGTCTGAATGTCTATGTTAGATTGTAGACACAGTGTGCTTTCGAATACAGGGTGAGATTCAGCTCCAAAAGTATGTATTTGAATAAGACAATGTAATCTATTCCATCGGCAAAAGAACCCTTCATACAAAACCTTGAACTGTGCCATTTATCATAAATGTGAGCGACGTTTCAGTGCAGCTGCTAACACCAAAACCAAAATAGTTTTAGTGAAGGTTCTTTCTTCACTGGGTCAACTCTGTAATGTTTTCATTTTATAGAAAGAGTATTTCACGGTAAATGAAGAATAATTACATACCCTGATATTTACTAAACAATAATCCTAGCCTGCTAAATCAATGTGTTTGAACCAATTACACCATCTTCTCATTAACATTTCAAGAACCTCTTTTTGGATTATTGAACCGGAACCTTGTGTTGCTTATGAAGTTGAATAATACAGTATACATCTGGTTCCATTGGTAGCAGATATCGATACAAGTGCAGTAGGTACAAAGAACGTCTTGAAGCTGCAGAACCCCAGGTATAGGAAGTTCATGTATTGGTGTATACCGAACAATAAACCAATCCTACCATAAATCAATGCCTTTCAACTAATTACACCGTGTTTGTATCGACATTTCAAGAACCCCTTTGAAAGTAAAATAACCTTAGAAACACCCTCCTTACTTTCTTAATGAACCTGAATAATTAAGATTATATCTGGCTACACTGGTTACAGATATAGAAACATACGGCAGTTGGTACGGTGCTACACTTAAGCAAGATGAACGCCTTGCTGTGTCTGGTCATTGCATTAATCCCAGTCGTGTATGCAGGAAACGTCTCTTCTTGGCATCGTTTTGACAGACAGGTTACGCTGCAGAGACTAAAGGCAAGAGAGCACCCCTTCACCACGCAGGCGTCTCCTAATGAAGAGACATGTGCTAGTCTCTGTGCCGAGGACAGACTGTGTGCTGCAGTCACCTTCCTGGAGGGTACGTGCAGCATGTACAGATCTTCTCTGACATCCTCTGGGAAATCTGTCCTTGGAGCCAAGCACTTCATCAAGGCAGGCGGTGAGATCATGCAACATCCTTTGCTGGCAGCTTTTCGTAATATGTTTGTAAATTATCCATGTGAAGATGGGAAACCCTTTTTTAAACTTTTGTGTTAAATATTTAGCGGAATTGACTAGAATACAGTCTAGCTAAGTCTCAAGTCTAATACATTCTTGGAAGAAAGGCTGGTGCGTCAGGTTAATGAAGAACGTGTTTGAAGGTATTTGAGTTTAGCAAAACGAGACTAATCAACCGGATTGACATAAGTATTTTCACATGGGATGCTAAATACTGACACATTCTTTGCTGCCAGTATTATGTAATATGTTTGTAGATTGAAGAGGGGTGTTACAACGTATTTTTTTTTTAAATTGTAATAAAACGTAAATAGTAATTCTTGCAGCAAATTATAATAACCCTTTGACGTAAATTGTAATAAAAACGTAACTTGTAATCAAACTTGACGTAAATTGTAATACGCAAATTGTAATAATAATGAACGTAACTTGTAATATTTTTAGTTGCAGTAAAATGTAATAAATATTTACGTAAACTGTAATAACAGTTTAATCATTCGTTGATACGCGTGTTTTTCGTTGCCTTTCATACATCATATAAGGGAGTTGCCAATATAAAGATTGTTAACGCCTTAACTCAAGAAAGAAATGATGGATTTTATTCAAATTTGGTACAAAGGTGTCGTGGCGAGATTCACCGACACCAATTAAATTTAGTGACCTTGAGATAACTTCACAGAAACAATTTGAGGGTTTTGCCAATATAAAAATTGTTCGCGCGATAACTCAAGAAAGAATTGACCAATTTTGCTTAAAAGTAGTACCCAGGTGCTTTGCCAGGACGTGCGGACACTAGATGAATTGGTCGACCTTCACATTGATAAATACTCATGGAATATATAATAACCGTAGTATCATGGGTGCTCTTAGCGAAATGACGAAACATTATATTCGTCCTGATATATACTCGCTATAAAATCTCCAACTGTTCTCTGTATCATGTTTTGTGGCAAATATCTGTTGATGTTTTGATATGTAAATATATACAGGAGGTGGGGGGATTCTAACGGGTATATCTAACATACTAATGAATGTAGTGTTGGGGGCGGTGTACTGTCCTAACGGGTATATAGTAATAAGTAATAATAATAATAAGTCCATTTGTATAGCGCCCTATATCCAATCACCAAGTGGTTGCTCATGGCGCTGACATATATACATATTTACAACAGGAGGTCATTTATATGTCATAGTGCTTCTTGAACAGGAAAGTTTTTAAGTTAGACTGGAAGCTGGCTATTGAGGGGGATTCTTTGAGAGACACATGCAGATTGTTCCAGAGGATAGCTGACAAGTAGGAAAAACGTCGATGTCCGTATGTCTTCAGACGTGCATTTGGGACGAGCAGCGACTGATTGGCTGATCTAAGAGTCCTGGTTTGAACGCACTCTCTGACAAGACTAGAGAGATAGGATGGAGCTGTATTGTTAAGACATCTATGCGTCATGTTAAGTATCTTGTATTCTATCCTGGCTGGGAGTGGTAACCAGTGCAGACGCATGAGGATTGGGGAGATGTGGCTGTGCTTGGTGGTTCTGCAGATCAATCTGGCAGCTGCATTTTGGTTACCCAGCCACGTTGGCATTTCCGGGAACACAATGGTCGATCTTGCTGCTCAGGCAGCACTCAACAAATCTGTGACACCACTTCTTATTCCATACTCTGATTACAAAGCTAGCATTGGAACTTACATCCGTGATCTGATGCAAAAGAAGTGGGACACCCAAGTTGGTATCAATAAATTACATGCAATAAAACCTTATATTGGTTACACCTACTTGGGTTGTCAGTCTTGCTTGACTGTGTTGAATATTCCATCACAAGGGATAACTATTTTAAATCACGAACTATGAAGGATCTTTTTAATAGTATCAGTTCTCATTTAATTATTGCATTTTTAAAAGAATTAGATTTGTTAAATGATTTGTAAATAGATAACTTTTTTTATGATTGGAAGTTTGAATTAGTAACTAAGATTGTTAGTGGTTGTATCCTCGAGGGGGTTTAAAGTACTGTAAAATTATTGTCCTCCTGAGAGGGTACGTAAGTCCCAAAACATTCGAAGTAAATTAAAACCTTCCACTTTTTTAATCGTAGAATACCTGTTCTTTTAATGTGTGGCTAGATTTGCTAAATTGCTAACGGCTGAAGGGATGGTGTAAATCCAGCTAGGGTCCATGCAGGAAGCAAATCTACTGTAAGTCCCCATGGTCCCTAGTATGGTGATCTACCTTCAGTTGTTGGCGATCTATAGCCGGTTTATATATTGTATTGTCATTTATAAGTGACATGTTTTAGATTTAAATACTAGTCTTAAATTTATTCCTGTGATAATCTAGTTGTTTTACTGTCCTTCGTCGACAGGTGTTCTATAATGTAATTGTGTTTATTGTTAATTTATAACTTTTTAAGTCACAATATGGCTGAAATATTGCCGATGTGACTATGAATATTAACTCACTCACTCACTCACTCTTTGTTGTATTTTGGGCTGTGAAACTAATGTTTTCCTGAGTATACCCTTGGCAATTAAATGTCAACAAACATTGTATACCTTATAGAAAGTTTGACTTTACTTTGATAACGAGCACATATGATAGATTTCTTGGCGTTAGACGATACTTCCAACACATTTTGGTACTATTTTTAAGCAGAATATATTAATTCTTTCTTGTGGTTTCGCACTAAAAACTTAGACATGTGCAAAACGATACAATTTTCGGTGTGAACTCAAAATGAGAACAAGTTCTCCAATCAACTGGTGTATGGGGAATCCCGCCAATACGCGTTGATATACAATTCGATCAAAATCTATTAATTCTGTCTTGAGTTAACGCGCTCACAAACTTTATATTGGCAAATCCCTCAGAGTTTTGCTGTGACCTTGCACGTTATCTCAAGGTCACTAAATTCAAATGGTGTAGGTGAATCTCGCCACACCTTGGTACCAAATTTGAACAAAATCAATCTTTTCTTGAGTTATCGCCCTAACAAGCTTATATGATTATGAAATTCAATGAAAAACGAACACACGCGTATTTACGAATGAATAAAACTGTTATTACAATTTACGTAAATATTTATTACATTTTACCGCAACTTAAATTATTACAATTTGCGTCAACTTTTATTACAATTTACGTCAAGGGTTACTACAATTTGCTGCAAGTATTACAATTACGTTTTTATTACAATTTACGTCGTTACAAGGGACATCATTCTTTATACTTTAGTGGGAATACTTGACAGCAGTAACTCAAATAAAACCTTGGGATGTTTCAAGAATAATAATATTTGGAGGGAGACTCTGGTGCCTAGTGTTAATGGAAAGCATATCTGATCACCTTTGAACACTGAGTTATGCAGCAATGCAGCAGACTGTGGAAGAGCAGAGACGAGCATCCTCGATACCTTCTGAAAAAAGGAAAGTGGGGCTCAGTCGTCCTTCGGGGTGCAATTTGCAAGTGATGATTGGTTCGAAACCCATATTGTCTTTTTAGGATGTTCGTCATCATAAATATACTAGGCACATAAAGAAACTGTGCTTACAAAAATTTAAAACCTAAATTGATCAACCCTGTGTAGACACATAAGGATTTAAACTCAGAGATTAGTGACATGTTTCCAACATGCATGCACGTGCCACGTTCCGTGACGTCAGTGGGTTCGTCCTTGAGACGTGCAATACGTTGTTCCACGTGCATTCCGGGAAAGAGAAACAGAGCAAATGAATGCCACACAATACTGTCACTTTGGAAAGCTCAACCCCTGCCCTTGCGATCGTTCAAAAATTAAACGGCTATTGAAACGCATAGCATGCCAAGGCTCACGTCTGCACAACGTCATGAGGCCATTGGGATGGTCCGTGGGGGAATGTCTCAACGACAAGTGGCTGCACATTTCCACTGCCACCAGAACACCATTTCTGCACTGGTGAGACGCTACCAGAACACAAATGACGTCATCGATCGGCCACGTTCTGGACGTCCACGTGTAACAACGCCAAGACAGGACATATCGATAAGGGTGACCCATCTTCGCCACAGGTTTCAGACTGCAGTGATGACTGCCCGAACCATCCCAGGACTTCGCCGTATCCCCCCTAACACAGTTCTACAACGTTTACGTCATCACGGGATCAGACCACGACGTCCCGCCATACGGCCTATCCTGACACAACGTCATCGATAAGCTCGCCGAATGTGGTGCCGAAATCATCTCTGCAGACCCTTGTTTTAGTGGAGAAATGTTGTTTTTACAGATGGGTCCAGGTTTAACATTTCCCATCGTGATGGACGTCAACGTGCCTATAGACGCGTGGTAGAACGTTATGCACAGGCCTCTGTCTTGGAGAGGAATCGCTTTGGTGGTAGTTCCGTGATGATTTGGGGTGGAATAACAGCACGCCAAAGAACTCCTTTGGTGATTGTTTAGGGCAACGTAACTGGTGTGAGCTGCAGGGATCAGATTCTTCGACCTGTGGCAATTCCTTTTCTGCAACGTCATGGCCCTGGGTTAACAGGACAATGCCCGCCCTCATACGGTAAGGGTTGCTATGGATTTCTTGCAACACCACAACGCTGACTTACTGCCTTGGCCTGCAAATTCACCGGATCTCTCCCCGATAGAGCATGTTTGGGACGAGATGGATCGACGTCTACGCCGTCTTCCTCATCCGCCAGATAACGTCCTTGACCTTGCAACAGAACTTGAGAGAATCTGGCGTGACATCCCCACAAGCCTTCCTTGCACGTTTGATAGGCTCTATGCGTCGTCGATGCACTGCTGTTCTCAATGCCGATGGTGGACATACCCGTTATTGAGCTTGTGACATGGTCGTTTGACCCCTGTCCCGCTTGTGGACTCGTGACGTCTTTGTGATTGACTTTTCAATTGAAATTCTCCCGACTTGTTATGGTCTCATGATCCCTCCATTAAAGTTTATATGTACCTTTGACATTGTTATCGTACTTATCAACTGGGATAATATTTTGACAATGCACAGTTTCTTTATGTGGCTAGTATATATTTCTCTAAGTCGGTGATACCTGCAAGAAGATACATAGAATATAATACAGAAAGCACCCTATTTACTTTCAGCGCTTCCTGATCCAGACCCATGCCCTGCATCTATGGGATATACGTCCGTGTTGTCTCCTCGGTTGTGCTACAAGTATATTCCAATATCCAACACTTGGACCCATCACAGTGCTCGGTGTCAAGCTGAAGATGGCCGCCTGATCGTCCTCAACAGTCAGGAGACACAGGAGTACATTGCCTCATTCCAGGGTCAAGGTCAGTAGCTGGGTGCCATTTTGTGCAAAGTAAAAGTATCAGCCAGAATCAATAGTTTTTTATTTTGTATATTCATGTACAGTATTCTTTTACAGCAAACGGGTTTGATTCGCTGTTCTCGGCATCGGACAATTGAATCTGTCGTTCAGGAAAGAATCAATATGGTGTGTGTTTCTGTAGCAAAATACATGCTTCATTACGGACTCTTTGATTAAAGGACAGTGCCAGACTAAGATCATTTATTAATATTCTCGTGTGTAAATCAGTCCATTTGAGCGTACCGCCTCAGTGGTGTAGTGGTTAGAGCGTCCGCCCGGAGAGCGGAAGATCGCGGGTTCGATCCCCGACCGCGTCATACCAAAAGAGTTAAAATATGGTACTTGTTGGTCCCTGCCTGGCGCTAGGCTTTAATGGGTACAACAAGGACTGGTCGACTCGGAGTCAGTATAATGTGTCTGAGTGGGGTATTCATGCTTCACTGCGGCATGGTATCTCAGTGGGCTAGCACTATAAAACCAGCCTGAGTCTGGGCTAGTACAAGCAGCCGCACATACACATACACACGCATGCACGTCGTCATATGAGCGAAATATTCTCAAGCACGACGTTAAACCCACTTTCACCTCACCTCACCATTTGAGCGTTTGTTTGGTGGCAGTGGCAGCCCAAATGTTGACTGAGGTTTATCATTACAGCTGATGTGTCAGGCAAACTCTGGGTTGGAATGCAGAAACTCAACAACGTGTTTACCTGGCAGGAAGGTTCCACTTATGTCTGGAAATGGTCCACAGGGGAACCTGACAACGATACAGATCAGAACTGCGTGCAGTTGTTTTATGGCAAATTGTCGGACAGACCGTGCCACGTTCATCGTCAAGCTGTCTGTGAAATACCTCTGTGAAATATGACATTAGTGAGGGGCAGTGAGAATTCATTTGTTAAAGTTTGAGAATAGAAAGAGATCGTGTGAAATTCAAATGTGCAACATTAATATATTTCCAATGATGAATACTTCGTTCTAGTTTAATCTGGGTGTATTCTTAACTCCTATTTAGTTATACCATATAGTATGTACATTCACTTTTATGGAAATATTTGCTGTGACGATTTATTTTGCAAAAGGCACACTTCTTGGGTATTTTTGTAAGAATGTTTCTTTTATGGATTACACTGTCTTATTCAAACACAATTCTGGTATTCGAATCCCACCCGGTATTCAAAAACAGACTGTGTCTACAATCTAACACCGAAATTCAAACACCAAATGCTACAAAGATAGGGCAACTGGAAGTCTGTACATAACTTTGACAGCAGGGAATCAAACCAAAACAAGAAACTGTTATCCCAAAGGTAACATATATAGTTGACAATTCCCTAAAAGCTTGGTACGTTACGTGCCTAAATACCATTCCGCTGTTGATGATACACCCTGGCTGTATCTCCATAATAACAACTGATGCATACGTCAAGCATGTGGTACTGGAACACTATTATGCCTCTGAATAAAGACGATTGTACTATTCAATTATGGTTAATGTTTATTTGGTATAAGAAACCATCTATATGTATATATATATATATATATATATATAGAGAGAGAGAGAGAGAGAGAGAGAGAGAGAGAGACCGTGCTTCAGGCTAAATGCACTGAAGATTTACTTTTACAAAGAATCTACCCAAGATAAATCGTTAAAGATGCTGTAGTTAAAGCAAAACAACCTAACAGAAGTGAACTGCTTAACGGTAAAAGAAAACGTTCATAATAATGTCCTCCCATTTGTATCCACATTCAACCCTCGAAATCCTGAACTATTTACTAAAGTTGGTGAAACACTCCTGTCTTTACAAAAATGCGACATTATAAAAGATAAACTGACACAAGTCAAGTTAATTAAAAGCAAGAGACAGGGTAAGAGTATCAAGCAAATTTTAACGAGGGCAAACTTGATAAAATCTAGTCAAGACACAAGATCTGTAACTAAATGCTAACTAATAGAGGGAAATGTATACCAGTTCAAGACTAGTCAAATCTTCGAAGTACATGAAAATATGACATGTGCATCTCAGAATCTCATATATGTCATATAGTGCAGTGGATGCGGCGAGGAGTATATCGGACAGACCCTACGTTCAAGAGTGAGAGTTCAGAAACTCGGGACCCCTCCTGTCGCTGTATCCCACTAAGTGGACATGTAGAAAGATGTGCTGGGAACAAAATACCAAACTTTACAGTATTCACATTTTACAAAATATTGTCGGACAGTGATGAAAAAATAAAAATATAATTAAATTATTTCATCAAACTGTTCAGACCTAAACTTAATCGTACAAAGTAAAATCCGACTTTGTCCATCTGTATTGAATGAAATTAATTAGATATTCCACTGCTTGTATATTAATGACCTCAAGTTGTATTTTAGACGCACACACTATGCAGAGCTCCGCGCCCTTTGTGTTGTGACGACATAATTTAGTGACGTCATAGCTTAGCAACGTTGTTATACACAAAGTATAGCAACGTCATTCTCATCATGATCACATTGACAGTGTGAAACCGGTTAGAATTGAAGAAATTATATCTGTACCAAGGATCTTCAGACTTTTGTCTTATGTGTACATACATACATACATACATACATACATACATACATACATACATACATACATACATACATACATACATACATACATACATACATACATACATACATACATACATACATACATACATACATACATACATACATACATACATTGTGCATACATACATACATTGTACATACATTAACAATGTATTACAATAATAAATTGCTAGATTGGTGTGTCGGAGTCGGAATGCGAGAATGTCGGATTAAAGAGAGTAATTATTTTTCGTGATTTCCATAAAACTGTGTTGTTAAGCTTTCTTGTAAACTAATACCTTTTAACATATCTTTGATAATACTTAAGTAATTCATAAAGGTAGGAGGGTAACGTTTCTTTTGGTGTTTAGTATGTGTGTGTGTGTGTGTGTGTGTGTGTGTGTACTATTACCTCTATACTATTTTCATAGATGCTTTTCGTATCTAATTTCATTATCACTGCATGTTTGCCTTTACACTGATGATAAAGCCATCTTTGAATATTTGATGATGAACAATGCTATGTTTCAGAGAATGGGCACATATACTTGACTCTTGAGCTTGAGCCTTGAGTAATCAAATAGACAACATTTAGATTACATCACTCCATCAAATATTCACATATGTCAACAAAACTACAGTCAATGTTCTCTTTTGTTTAAAGAAGGTTACGTTCAATTTTAGAGTTTAAATACATTTTGATGTATAATTTTGAAATATTTTGGAAGTACCTCTAGACCGACAGAGCAATCGCCTTGTGGTCACCCTCTTTACCTGACAGACTTTACATTAGCATAAAATAATCATAAGTAATATTGGTAATTAGTTTCTAAAACCAGGGCCCGTATTCTCGAAACGTTCGTAGCCCTAAAAATTCTTAACTTTTATCGTAGCCAGTGTGTTAGGAATGGACTTAAGAAGTTCGTAGCGTTACGAACGTTTCGAGAATAGCTAGCCAGATCTGATATAGCTCCTCTACACTGTCATAGTTAAACACAACGACACTTGGCTCATGAATGCTTCAAATGCTTTGAACATACCGAGATCCTCTTACAGACTTGTGTGACAAAGGGTTGGAGCTATTCTAGAGAAACCATTGACAAATTGCTAGGATCTTCCCTGCAATGTTAAGTTTCAGGGCAGAAGATATATATAAGGTTATATAAATGACGACGGACGGAAAGAAGTGTACCGCCGCTAACATAACATTCCACTGACCGAAGCTCAGAGATATATCATAGGACAGTGTAATTCGTATTTCTTAGTTTCTATCCATATCATATTCATTAGTATGTAGGGTTATATTTCCTCATCAGTTGACTGCCTTATACACTACATATATACAATTCAGGCTTCAGTCGATACATGCCTTTACAGCGATTTTTAACGTCTCCAGCTTTTCTAATAACCAAGTCACAAGATCTTCGTTTTTTATGATATAACGTCCGGTTTGGGAAATCGTCCAAGCAGACGAATTTTTTTGCCTTTAGAGGAAATGTGTCTGCGTATATTCGAAACTCGCTACTCTTTGGCGTTTTGAACTTACCATGCAATGTTCTTCCATTGGCCAGACCAGGTCAACCAGATAGAAACGCATAACCTAAAATTCTGTTGCGAAAATACTGTGTTTTCAAACTCGTCCACTATTAGACTTTAGTACATGAATTTGTGCATCAGTTTAGAAGAAGGAAATGTCTATACAACTACTAGTAAGTGGATAATTTTAGATAACGGAAACGCTGAACGCGATGGTTACGACGTAGCACGGTCCCGACGTCGGGTCTCCTGGCTCTCAGTTCAATCACTCTCAACCTGTTCCGTACAGTTTGACCGAAAATCCTCCGAAGTCCAGGCATCCTGGCTGCTGTGCTGTCACCCGTGGCAGTACGATCACGCAAATGTAGTACCCGGATGTACTGATCTTGGGCTGCACTGGTGACTCGAGGTCTGCCTGTATGTGGGCGGTCATTTGTTATACCTGTTTGGTTGTAACGAGCTATAAGTTGTGATATCGGGCTTAGACTAACATTCAGACGCCTGGCAACAGAAGATTGGTAATCGCCAGCGTTCATTCGTTCAATGGCGATGTTGAGTGTCGCAGCATCAAGATGTGGCGTAGTAATTTGACCTTGAAACTCCTTCAAAACGAATGTCGATTTCCGAAAGTAATCTGGACTTTTATAACCAGACAGTGCATGCATGCTCTTTGCTGCACAATTTCAACTGGAAGGTGATTTCTGTTGCATTGTGGCGATGCCTTTTTAATCCTTGTAAGAAATCTCATTCAAATCAACATTTTCCGGTAAAGTCGATTTTTTACTTGTGCAATTGTGTAAAATCATGTTATCAACACTTTTCTTACATATTTTGACGATAGGTAATTAATAGATTTTGAAAAATACGAAACGCCTATGCGTTTCTTTTTGGGATAGTATAGTAGTACGATCCAGAATATGGCAATGACAGGCATGGAGGCTAAGATACAACACGTTGTGGTTATAGTAGTGGCGGCAACTCCATAGATGTTGAAACGACGAGGGATTTTGAAGAACATCAATGACCCTATCACCCTACCTGCTGTCATTACAGGGTCGAACATATTGACCGTCTGTAGTGTCACATTGAAGACACATAGTAGATCTCACAGGCCGGTCCCAAACAACTGTCAGGGAAACACATTCCAGTAAGTGAAACAGTGAATTAGATGCTTGATCGGCATTTTAGAAGATGCTATTTGATGAACATAGAGAATTTTATGGGTTTCATGTTCTTTTTATTGTTTTCTTACTGCTTCATGTCCATGTAGATGGCGAATTAGATGCTTGAAACCACAATAAGGAAAACACTACAAGATCAAGTTCAGCGTCATCCGAAACCTGAACCATCTCCCATCCGCATCAACATCCCGTATGTTGGGCCTATCAGCCACCAAGTCAGCAGACTCCTAAAGAAAATGGCCAGCATTGACACAACTTTCTCGTCTGGCAAAACCCTTAAAACTTTGTTACGTGCAAATGGTAAGCGGTGCAATCAGGCTATCTCCATTCCAAGAGGCTGTGTGTATAAACTGGAATTTGACTGTGGTGATATCTACATTGGTGCGACAGGCAGACCAGTAGCTACCAGTGTGAAAGAACACAAAACTTCAGTCCACAAATCGGATCTGAAATCTACGGTTTCTCCGCACATTGTGAATAATCCCGATCATGAAATTGACTGGGAAGCTGAAATCCTCGCAAAAAAACCTCAGTGACTGGTGGAAACGCAAGTTGATTGAAGCTATCGTCATCAAGCGAACAAAACCAGCAATAAACAGAGATCAGGGTGTGTACCTCCCCAATGCATGGTTCATAAAACAATAGACAATACCCCACTGTTCCCATGTATAAACCATAATTTCCATGTATACACTGCAATTACTATACATTGTATACATTTATAAATAAG